GGGGCTTGTGCTTGGAGGGCAGAGTCCAGTGATCCTCACTAGGCACGCAGACGCTTCTTGGGCTGACGACCAGGCTACGCAGCGGTTGTCACAGGGTTACACCTTCAGCCTTGGTTCCGGCTCTGTTTCGTGGCGGGCTACTTGCTCGTCTTCTATTCTCGGCACCAGTTGTGAGGCTGAGATCTACGCAGGAGCCATGGCTGCATAGGAGCTTCGCTGGCTCACCTACTTGCTGACTGACCTCGGAGAGCCGCCTTGCTCTCCTCCAGTGCTGTACGTAGACAACAAGGCCATGCTGGCCTTGTGCCGGGAGCAGCGACTGGAGCACAGAACGAAGCACATTGCTCTTCGCTACTTCCTTGCTCGTGAGCTACAGCAGCGTGGTCAGCTGCGCCTTGCGTACGTGGCCTCTGAGGCCAACACTGCTGATATCTTCACCAAGGCGCTTGCGCCTTGTAATCATCAGCACTTGTGTACTCAGCTGGGTCTTGTGCCTGCCTTGCCTCACTTGCTCACCACTTGACCTTGTTTGTACTGTTACATATATGTATATATAGACACCTGCTCTTGCTTGCCTAGCCTTATATATATGTGTGTAATCCTACATGTGAACTGGCCTTGTGGCCTTGAACTGCAGTCTCTGCTGCCCCGGAGCAACCACGTCAGGGAATGCACTCGGGCTTCGCCACACGCCGAACCTAAGCTGTTGTGTCTGCTGCACTAACACTCCTTCCCGATGTCCCAAAGCAGTCACAGATTCGACTGTATTGAACCTACGTGGGGTCCGAGACGGCTCAAAAGCCAGCTGTCTCGCTTCTTGAATCTTCCTTATCTGCCTTGGCTGTAGTCCCTGCTGCCCCTGAGCAATCTTGCTTGGGAATGTTGATCCGCCAGCAGCCGGGAATGGCACCGGACTAGCACGTGCGCCTTGTGCATTGTTGCTACGAGCAACACCACCAGCAACAGAACCTGCCGCAGCACCAGCAGCAGCTGCAGCGGCAGCAGCAGTTGCATGGTTACCAGAGCGAGAGCTTGGAGTAGGCAGCACGGAATTCCAGCCAGCTGCTTTCAGTGATGCCAGAGCTGGGTACATGGTTCCGGATACTGGTGTTGACGATGTTAATGACACTGCTTCTGCTGCTGCTGTTGCTGGCGATGTCACTGATGCTGCTGCTGCTGCTGCCGCTGGTGGTGGTGCTACTATTGCAACCGATGATGATGCTGGTGCTGCAGGGTCAGCAACGGGTGCATGGAAAGGGAGTGGTCGGAAGCTGCTGGTTCGAAAAAGTGACGGAGGAGCAACGCTGCGGGTGCAACCCGCTGGTACTATTAGGGGGCCTGAATGTGACATAAGGGGTGTGGCAGGACGGCAGGTTGTAGCAAGAGGCCAGGTTGTAGAACAAGGGCAGGGGAGATTTGCAGGAGGAGGGAAGGTTGAAGCAGAAGAGAAGGTTTTAGCAGGACGGAAGGTTGTTGAAATCGGGCAGGTTGTAGCAGGAGGGGACGTTGCTGCAGAAGGGAAGGCCGCCATTGGAGGAAAATTTGCAGGAAAGACGACATTAACAGGGGGTAAGTTTTTAGCAGGAGGGCAAGTTGTAGCAAGAGGGGAGTTTGTAGCAGGAGTCAAGATTCTAAGAGGTGGGAAAGTTGTGCCTTGGGAAACACTTGTAGCGGGAGGAAAATCTGTAGCATGAGGGACGGTTGTGGCAGGAGGCGAGGTTGTAGCAACCGTGACAGTAAGGTGAGTGCGAGGCACGCAATGGCATGCGGGGGGTGGTTATGCGAGCCGGAATATGTCATCCGCACCACCACTCGCATCTCTGTTCTGCCACGCCCTGTAATGTCACTTCCTGGAGCCAAGTGGTGGTTTGTGGAGGCGGATAACATTGCCTTGGAGACGGTGCCTTGAGGCTTGTAGCGGCGCGGCCGGGCCTCCACGGCCACCCTGTCCTCGGCTTTTTTCGCCGGGCAGCCCGTGAGTTGCTTGGATGCGCACACAAAGTAAATCCTGCGGCAGATATGGACACGAAATTGTCGGGAATCAGGTACTTATGGATCAGCAAAAACGGTTGGCACTATAACGTCGCAATAGAGACTCATCCAAGCACCTTGTATAGAAGGCGGAGGAAGAAGAGGGGTGTTGGGACTGCCATGCCAGTTGTCCCAGTCAAGGTAATCATAGCAGTAGTCAAGGTATTTAAGCATTGTTACCAGCAGTAGTAGTCAAGGCACCCGTCTCACCAACCGTACCTCTTCACTTGCTGGCCAACGATCTGTTTGTGCGATGCCTTGCGCCATTGAAACCCCTCGCAGCCTTGGCAATTGTTGAGGCACAATGCATGGGAATCCATGTACTTCTGCTGTTGGTACTCGTGCTGCTGCTGTTGCTGCTGCTGCCGCTGCCCTTGATGCTGATGTTGCTGCTGCTGCTGCAGTTGGTGCTCGTGCTGCTCCTGGTGACCCTGCAAATCACAATGATATGGTGATGCGGCATGTGATCCATCAGAACCGTTCATCGTGCTATTGCCGTGGCAGAAGGCAGCAGGTAACAGGCGGCAGGCAGCAGGCTGTCACGGATGTTGCTGGATGTCACAGGAGGTCGCTGAATGTAGCTGGTTGTCGCCGTGTGTCGCTTACTGTCACACGATGTCAATGGTGTCAAAGGATATCCCTGGATGTCATAGGATGTCACAAAAGGTTCTGGATCATCTCTCTATTCAACTTGATGTCACAGAAGTGTATTGAATGTCACGGGTTGATTTTCGCGGATTAGGTGAGATGGCGTCACAGGGCGTGGCTGAGGATTCGACACCCATCATGATGTGGTTGCTGTCCGAAGCCGCTGCGTGAAAATGGTCGTACCACGATCGTTTGCAGTGTAGGAAATGTGGACCAGCTTTGGAAGCGGAAAGACGACTAAGGCGGAGGAATCTGACATACGAGGGCATCATGAGTCAAAGCCGCGTTTGTCCTGGCATCGAGAGCATCACTCGGAAGGGTTCTATAAATGTGTTCCTCCTGATGATTCTAGAGGTGCTCAAATCACTGAATTTACGAGCACGTCTGATCACGGATGAGGCGAGAGTTGACCATCAAATCGAGCTAATCACTTTGTTGAGAGAGTAAATCGTTAAGGTGACTAAGATACTAACGATGACTCCTAGTAGTACAATTAATCTGGGACCATCAATCTGACCACGTCTTGCTGATGTCTACATCGGATGACTACATTAGGCACCATTCTGGGTTGCAATGTCACCCACAAGGTCCTAGAACGTGCCATTTGTACCGCCCGATGCAGGCCATTCGAACGTGCGTTGACATGTCAGCTGACATGGGTGATGGGACTGGGGGGACTAATCGAAATCTTCTAGAGAGTCTGACCTAATCTTGGCGGGGAACATCGGCCGCGGGGTGCGAGCGTGCGCTTGGAAAGCAAGCCGGGAAGGCACAGTGCAGTGCCAACAAGCACATCGCGAAAAAGGGAAGTTCGAAAAGCCACTCAAAATACACTCAGCCGCAACTTCCTCGATAATTTTTGCCCGGCACTTTCAAGTCAAGGTTTTAGACCTGCATAGCGTAAGTAACTGACAAACCAACTACTCAGTCACTATTCCGCTGCATTCTGTACACATGCATGTATCAAATCGGATACTACACCTGCTACGTTGTCGTAGCAAAACCGTTACGGTCTGCACCACATGAAAGCTTACCAAACCTAACCTTTCCAACCGACTAGAAAGTTGCAGCTACGCAACCTCAACTGCCATCCGTACGCGACAACACACGTGGCATCCAGTATCAACCCGATGGTCCACGTAAGCGTTCACCCATCAAAACGTACCCGCACCCCATCCGTTAGATATACCGTTTGTTCACGCAATCTAGACGGTTCACGTGTCCCACTATCAGCTACTCGCACATCATGTTACTCCTTCGCGAGCACCACCTCGCGACTACTCGCTGACACATCGCACTCGCATCTTCTCCGTCCATCTCCACATCAATCAGCCCGTAAATACGTGACGCTTGGAACCAGCCCACCGGTGCTCACGTCGCAACTCCCGTGTACGAGACCCACTAGCATTTTGACACTTGGCATCCATCGGAGGGCGCATCATGCCTATCCACCCTATCCAACATTGCACCCTCGCCGTACAAATGTCGCACTGCCACATTCTCGTTTACTTCGCCATATTTCTCGGCACCCAATCGTTTTGCTCATGATACACGTTTGCGACTCCATCCACACCGTCCATCTGCACACATAGTCTGCAACTCCCAGCTGCCACGTTGCGCTCACAGCCGCGATCTACCCCGTTCACTTGCCTTCGGATCGTCCACTCGCACATCTAGTAACCATCCATCCATCTCCTCGCCATAAGCATTCGCTCAATGTGCGCGAAACAATCTTGACCGTACACCTGTCGCGCCCTCGTCGAATATCAACTCGATCTCCCAACCAGTACGCCATCACTTCTACACGTAAATTCGATTGTTCTAACGTACATCAGAGTCACACGCGTAGTTTTGTTCATGCGTGTCAGATTGGGCATAGGTTCCAGTTCAATGCTTATCCATGATGATATCCAATCGGAACGCCTCACGCCCGCAATGTTGTGACAGGCACGTCCAATCCAGTCGCGACATATGGAACCCTCCGCGACTCGCGCCGCCAAATGCGGCGCACTATTAGTCCGCCCGCACACCTGGTTCGGTCCTGCATGTCGCATTGTACATCATCCTCTACTTGCCTGTGTTATCTCGAACATCAATTACCCCAAACGACTTCTCCCATTCATAACAAGGTCGCACATAATGAGTACCACAACTCCTAACTACACCCGTCCTCTTCAACTCTCAATCACACACATGCAACCCCCTTACCCCACATATCCAAACTTCCAACACCGCACACATAGTCATACAAGATTCCATCTAAGCATCTCTTCAGCTGTCCCTTCAACCGTCCACCACCAACATCCTCTATTGACGGTCTACTAAGCACCAACTGACACCGAAAGGTCGCCATCCCCTACGATGCCTAGCAGCTCGGCGGCGGCCGCAGGCTTCATGTGCTCCAGGCCGCACGCAGAGATGCGCAGGCCATGGCGCCCCCAAATCCACGCCTCGCGCTCCGCGTCATACTCGGGGTTGCGGATACGGATCGCCCTCTCCACGGCCTCCTTGACCAGGACCTTGAGCCCATCCACAACGTGGGCATTCCCGCCCGCCGAGTTGGAGAGCCGGCCTTTCCGCGCCTCCCAGTAGAGGACGCAGACGGAGACCTGCGCCCAACACAAAAAGCGTCAGTCCATGCATTTTCAGTAGGATGCACACCATTGCACACATCGCGCGCACACACTCACCACATGCTCCAACCAGGCTAGGTGGTACACCTTAAGGGTCATCACCAGCCCTGCCTTCTTCGGCTTGAAGGCAGCCTTCGCACATGTCGCGAACGCCCGGGAGGCAAACGGCATGCCATCCCTGTCGTGCGCCCAGCTGGTCAGCACTAGAGTTTCTGCACACCACATCCGAAGCGTGGGTATCAATGTCCACAATTCTCGCATTGGTGCATGACTAGAAACGGTCGACGACTCCAACGCGCGTCTCACGCACTCACCAGGGGGGTCAGCGCCAAGCCCAATGCGCTCCCTTATCTTATCGATACTACGCTCCTTTTAAGGTGCCCACGGGCTGGATGCGTCCTTGTCGTCCAGGATCAGGCCGAGCTTGGGAAGTGCAATGTCTCGCACGCGAGCGGCAGCCCTTGTCTTCCACTCCGACAGCGTCTTGTTGAGATCCGCCCGCCCGACTTGTCAGCCGCCAACGCCAATCAGGCGATGCTGTGAGGTAGGCGGTCCAGCACCGCGCACACTCCGTGAGTCTTATCGTCGCTGCTCGGGTAGAAGGTCATCAACGACGTGGGCCTGTTGAGAAACATGTGAACTCTGGCCAGCTCGCACACCCGCTGCGCACCCATAGTATACACCATCACCAACATCAGCATTCACCATGTACCATCAATGGGTACAGACTGCAACCCATTCCGGACGGGAAGTTACTGAACCGAGATGGAAACAGGCCCGCTCACCTTCCACGCCTTGTCTGTCGGCAGATGCGCCAGCGCGCGTTGGAGAATAGGAGACCTTGCAGTACGCATATGACAACCACCAGAACCATGCGTATCTTCCTCGTTGTCCTCTCCGTCATCGTCCGACCCGCCGCTCCATGTCTCGCCACGCTTACGCTTCGGGTTCATGCACCCCTGCTCCGGGTCTCTCTGCTTCCGAGCCTTACGCTTACGAGATCCACCAGAAGGCTGCGCCATTGCATTCAAGATTAGCGCCTCCAACCGCGCGTTCTCCTTGGCGCTCCTGTCCTGAGCCCGGATGAGTTGCTTGAGAACCCTGCTCGAGATGTGCACGTCATCGCCGTCAGTGTCCACTGGGGTCCTGCATGCGCGGTCCACATGCCCGTCCACATGTCCTCGGCCTTCGCCCCGATACACATCCGTCTCCCCCGCGCCCCGACTTTCGCGCCCGTTTGCTTTGGGTGAAGCGGTTCCCGCACACCCATCGTCGGCCGTCTTCCCTCCAGTGGCAGGTTCACCGGATTCTTCGGGTGAGGCTGAGGCCGATGTGTCTGAGTCTGCCTCGCCATCCTCTTCATTGTGCTTGGACGATGAAGCACTCTCTGCACTAGTGCCGTCATCTGCGATGATACAGAGGCTCCAGACAAGCACGGTACCACATGTCAGCTATACTTGTTGGGCACTGGGGTATAGACAATGCGAACACCCGCATTAGTACAACGAGTCACCCATCAACGCTCTTTCTGCATACCTTGCTCATGCTGTACCACCTCGTTTCCCTTCTTGGTCACGCTCAGACGCTTAGGCAGTGTCGGCCCGCGTTTCCCGTTCGACAGCCGACCGCGCGGCATTGTCAGCTGATACGACGCTCGTAGGTACGCCGGCGGGTTAGATACACGACGGGCGCGCCCTCCCGTCAGAGTATCCTCTGAAGCAAGCGAAGTATCCATTGTAGCAACAATATTATCCAGTGATATACTCACAAAATGACGCGCGGTTCTATACTTCTACATATACCTTCCGCTCAACTTCTTACCACACCGGAGCCCATCATGGGCAGTGAGTTTGGTAGGCAATACGACTTCGTGTCCATTTGGATGACCGCAATCCGAAACGGCTAATACATGCACACCACGTCATCCACCGCCATGTACATGTGTGCACACATAAACCACACACCGCGCACATCCTGGCAACACAACCGTATCGTTGGAACTCGTTTGTGAGTACATCATGTCTCACGGAAGTATTCACTCTGCACGTTGTTGACGTACATCCTTTCATTATACATCTCACCAATTGCACGTTACACCAGCACACAATGTATCGACCAATTAAGCTCCTTTGTGTAAGCAAGAGCCTTCGCACCCATCAATTACGAATACAAGCAGAAAATCTGACGCCCTACACATCTCTAACTGAATTTCTCACAAAACATACCGTACAATTGCAATCATGTGTACGTCTATGCATCTACAACAACTATGCAGGATGGTCTGCCAACATCTCATGTGCAACAGACTCTTCCACACCCTCCTCGGCTTCGTTGTGCCGAGCACACCCGCCGCTGCCGTTGTGCACAGGGGCCGTTCCCCCACTCTCAGCATTGTCAGGGTCGTCTGGTTCGTTGGCCGCCTTGTTGTTTCTATCCACCACCCTCTGCCTCTTTGACGTGCGCGTGGCAACCACTCGCTTCCTCCCTCGTTTCACCTTCCAGTTCACACCCTCACGCGCCTCCCTCTAGCTCCGCCACCTCCACCACCTCCGCCCTTCCACCAGGAGCTGCAGATCTTCCTTGGTGCATCCACGCAGCATCGCCTTCTCTGCGGCTGACAGTCTGACCGTGTTGGGTATCTTGTCTCGTAACCTCAGGACGAACGCACCTGCGGCGTACGCAAACGCCGCCTCCTCCTCCGATGTGTATGCACCCAGCCGCTGTTGCTTACGCTTTCCTCCTTTAATCAGGATCTTCACGCCGAACTTGCCTGATGCTTTCTTCAACTTGACTCCTGTGTACTTCGTTGCACACGTGTCGTCACCATCCTCTTCGTCCTCCGTGTCTGACACGAGATCCTCTTCTTCTTCTGCCTTCACCGTCTCGTGGCCGCTCGTATCTCCCCATGCATCAGCTCCAGCCGGCACCGTCACCCCGAGCAGCGATCTCCCGCGGGTGAACATCCAGTGAGGTATGGTCCCTCCCGACAACAGCGGGTTTTGCAGTAAGCGCGCTGTTGGATCACATGCACCGAACAAGGAGGCCAGCGCAACACGGGTGGCATTGCGTACGACATCCTCCTCTGGACTGCTGTCATCACGCCTCTCGCGACCGGATGGACGCTGTGGAGTGTGTGGGGCATTCTTGGTGCCACCTGCCTCTTCTTTTGCGCCGGATCTCACGGGGTTGCCTTGCATCAGTAGTTGGGTTGCAACGGACACCACCTCCTCGCCCTCAATCCCACAAAATTGGCTATGACGGTGAAGCTCGCGTCCAGGAACATCACATCGTTCTTCATAGTCGCCATTTCCCTCATCATCGCCGTTACCCGTGCGTCATCCCCGGCTTGACTGACCGGTGCTTGCCTCACATCTTCCATACCAGCGTTCCTCTCCCGCACCACTGCCCCCCCTCTGTTACCCGGCCTGCGTCCTGCGGGGGAATTTTGATCCCCGGCGCTTCCAACTGCTGAATGAGATCTCCGGTCGCGTGTGTGCACAAGTCGCGCCGCATCTCCCGCCGGTATTGGTGCGGCGTCACTCCCTGAAACCAGAGCCCGCTCAATAACGTGGTGAAGTCGGACATCACCAGGGTCTTCAGGTACTCGCAAACAAAAATCCCACAGTCCTGCTTGTTCGGCTGCTGTGGCAGCTTATCATCCTGCACTTCGACAAACGCTCACTACAGTTAGCAATCCGTCTACCCTCGTAAACATTGTGCACACAGGTATGCGCATTCGCTGGTACCCTCACCCGTAATATTATGCACTCCGCAGCCAGCAGCTGCTTGTCCACAAACTCCATGTTCGCGTCAGGGTTACTCGCCTTGGCGAGTTCGGACAGCAATCTGCACGTTACAGGCCGAAATCGTTGAAACGAGTTATGGGTTGCTGCCAGCGACATGCAACGTCGTCAGTGAACCCTGTACTCACAGCTTGGTGCCTGCAAAAATCATGCGGGTGTTCCTTGTCTTTATGCTACTGTCCAGCAAGACCAACTTCATTCGCTCTTTGCCTTCGGATTTCGCGGACTTGGTAAGCACCGATGGAGATACAGCGATGACGAGCGAGTAGTGCTCCCTACGCTCAACATGAGAGGGTATGTTGGGATAAGGGTTAGACAACCATCGGTGTCATGCTAAAGAATCCTCTCACGAACCGGATACTTGTGATACGTACCCCTCTAGCACAAGGATCGCAAGATAGTCGTGCTGCAGTAGCGGAAGCCCGTTCCCCAGCGTCAAAGGCGCACCATGTTGGAATCACTGAACAGGAATGAATGAACTAGCAGTGAAATGAGTACAAGTACCTAACCCTAGAATTGTGTACCCCTATAGGCTAACCCACTGTAGCCTTAACTAACACAACATATATAATGTTTGACACACCCCCATAGGCAAAGTGGGGGAGAACTAGGGGTCACAAGACCAGTCAAGGCAAAGCAAGGCAAAACAAGCTCAGGGTGGATCTCAAGGATACCACACAAATTCCAAGCACAAGCAAGTGGTCACAAGACCAGTTCACATGCAAGTTTATAATAGAGCAAAAGGTACAATGATCACAACCTAACAAGAGTAAACATGCAGGTATATAGAGATAACAGTACAAACAGACTAAAGAAGTAAGCAAGTGAGGTCCAGTAGGCACAAGGTCTAGAAGAGTGCAAAAGCGCTGATGGTCACAAGCCTGAAGCGCCTTGGTGAACACATCAGCAGTGTTGGCCTCAGCGGCCACGTAACGCAGGCGAAGCTGACCACGCTGCTGCAGCTCTCGAGCAAGGAAGTAACGCAGAGCAATGTGCTTCGTTCTGTGCTCCAGTTTGTGCTCCTCACACAAGGCAATGGCTGCCTTGTTGTCGACGTACAGCACTGGAGGAGAACGAGGCTGCTCTCCAAGGCCGGTCAGCAAGTAGGTGAGCCAGCGTAACTCATGGGCCGCCATGGCTGTGGCGTAGATCTCAGCCTCACAACTGAAGCTGAGAACAGAAGAAGAGCAAGTAGAACGCCAAGAAACTGAACCAAAGCCAAGACTGAAGGAGTAACCCTGAGACGACCGCTGAGTAGCCTGGTCGTCTGCCCAAGAAGTGTCTGAGTGCCCAGTGAGAACAACTGGGACTCGCCCTCCAAGCACTAGCCCCATGCTCGACGTACTACACAAGTAGCGCAACACCCTCTTAACTGCATCCATGTGCTCCTTCTGGTGACGGCCGGGAGCGACATAGCGTGCAAGAATGCTGAGAGGGTATGCAAGGTCTGGTCGAGGGCAGGCCATCAGGTACATGAGGCAACCCACAAGCTCTGGATACGGGCCACTCGGCTCTACGGAATCATCCGAAGGCAGAGCTGAGAGAGAGTGACCGGTAGGCAGAGGAGTGGCCTGAGGCGAGGAGTACGTGAAGCGGAAGCGCTGAAGGACCTGCTGCACCATGTGTGACTGAGTCAAGGTGATGGTGCGGCGTGCTCTGTCCCGGGTGATCCGCAAGCCAAGATAGCTTGTCCGTTCACCCAGGTCTGTGCACGTGTGTCTCTTCTGCAGCTCCGACTTCACGTGGGCGAGTGCCACTGTATCAGCAGTAGGAAAGACCAAGTCGTCGACGTACACAAGGACGTAGAACGGCGGCAGTGAGGTGTCGGTGCGTAGAAACAGCGACGGGTCAGCAGTAGAAGGCGCGAACCCAAGAGCCGCAAGCGTAGTCCTCAGTGTGTCGTGCCACTCAGAAGGCGCCTAGCGGAGACCGTAGGCTGGCCGTCGGAGGCTCCACTGGGTACCAGGAGGGAACGACCCAGTGAAGCCAGGTGGACGGCTCACCCAGATCTCCTCGTGCAGGCTGCCCTGCAGGTAGCAATGCTGAAGTCAAGCGAGTGGAGCTCGTAGTTACGCTGAGCGGTGACGTGCAGCAGAACCCGAAGAGTGGTCATCTTCGGGGTCGGGGAGAAGGTATGGAAGAAGTCAACTCCCTCTCGCTGATTGAAGCCTCGTGCAACGTAACGCGCCTTGAAGACAGGCGGAGAGCCCGGCGGCCGCTTCACCCTGAAAATCCACATGCCACTGATGATGTTCGCCCCAGGTGGGGGAACCTCGTCGACGTAGGTGCCTGTGGACTTCCAGGAAGCCATCTCTGTGTCCATGGCTTACTGCCACTGAGAGGAGTAGGGACCGGCCATCGCCTCTGCGTAAGAGCGTGGGGTCGAGATGTCTGGTGCATCCGGGTCTCCCTCAGGGGCAACAAGCATGGACACGAGATGGGGCAAAGCGGCAGCAAAGCACTCAAACTCCTCCTGCCTGTCCTCAAGGACGTCAGTGCCAAGAGCACACTCACCCCCGACGGACGGAGGACAGACACACTCAGACTCAGCAACTAGGCTAGCAGCGTAGTCTAGACGACAGCGAGCAGCAAAGTCTACAAGCTCAGCAACTAAGGCAGACGCAGCAGCAGACTCAAAGGAAGGGTCAGTGACAACAGTAGCCAGGAGACGCGTGACAGTAGGACTGGTAGCACGAAGAGAGTCTGACCCAGGGTCAGCAAGAGCAGGAAGAGAGAAAGCAGAAGGAGACGGCAGTGGGACACGCTGTGGAGCAGTGGACGGACGAAGCGCCATCCGGTGAGTGCCTGGGACAGCAGGAAGACGCTGACGCTGGACTCGACTACTAGAGAGAGCAGTGCGGACCAGGACGCGACTCAGGACAAGACTCAGGTGACGCAGGACGAGACGCAGGCTCACGCCGCTCAATAAGACCTCCAGTCGGACCAGTGTAAGGAGCAAGACCAGGGAGAGAGGAGGCAGACGGTAACGTCGACTGCAGCTGGACAGGCGGAGGACACGCTAAGGAGGGAGGAGGAAAAGGAGGAGGAAGCTGACCAAGAACCTGCTGAAGGAGCAGAACAAAGTACAACCGAGACCGAGCAGCGACACTAGAGCCAGCAGGGACACCCGCACCAGGGTCCGCAGCACCAGCAGCAGCTCCAGCGCCCACGTCCTCAGCACCAGCGGCAGCTCCAACGCCCGGGTCCTCAGCACCAGTAGCAGCTCCAACGCCCGGGTCCGCAGCACCAGCGGCAGCTCCAACGCCTGGGTCCTTAGCACCAGTAGCAGCTCCAATGCCCGGGTCCGCAGCACCAGCGGCAGCTCCAACGCCTGGGTCCTCAGCACCAGCAGCAGCTCCAACGCCCAGGTCCTCAGCACCAGCAGCAGCTCCAACGGCAGCGGGGTCCGTAACACGAGGCACGCCACTCCGAAGAGTGCAGCGCCGCTCGTACCACTCACGGATCCGCTCGCGGGAGGGGAGCTCCCGAACGGGAGAAGAAGCACTAGCACCAGTCCTTGTAGTACGTCCGGCACGAGCGGTACCTCTCCGGAGGCTGCAGTACTCTAAGTACCACGCACGCAGCTGCTCCGAGGAGAGGGCTCCTCCAGGTGCAGGACTCCCAGGCTTAGTACCTCCAGACTCAGAACCCCCAGACTCCGGACTCCGCAGCTCAGCAGCACGAGGCTCCACACCCCCAAGTTAGCACCCTCAAGCTCCACACCCCCAGGCTCCACACCCCCAGGCTCCACACCCCCAGACTCCACACCCCCAGGCTCCACACCCCCAGGCTCAGCACCCCCAGGCTCAGCACCCCCAGCAGGACGAGAGTCGACAGCTACCTCAACAGGCTCAACCGGGTCTACCTGAGACACAACTGAGGGAGCGGCACCTTGAGGGGGGAGGGGGTCTGCAACAGCAGCACCTGGCGCGAGGAAGAGAGGCGGGGGGGGGAGCGGGGCAGTGCGGTAGGGGAAGAGGCGGTAGTAGGGGACGGACTCGTCAAAAGTGACGTCCTGGGAGGGCAAGACTCGGCGCGAGGTGGCGTGGTAAAACTGCCAACCAGACGCGTCCGGGACAAAGCCGAGGAAGACGCAGGGAACAGCACGGGAGGAGAGCTTGTCCGCAGACGAATCGCGGACAAAATCTCGAGACCCCCAG